ATTTTAGATTTTAGTAAAATTTTTATAATTTATTTGTATATATAATTAATTTAATCATTGTTTTTTTATTTAGATATTGAACCTTTCAGTCTTTATCTTTCTACCATATTGCTATATTTGTATAGTTAATCCTTTATTTTTGGTTAAAAGTAAATTTAAAAATCTGTGTACGAAAAATTTTTTTTGATTGAATTTAAGATTTTATATAACAATTTTATTAATATATATTTAAAATGTATAATATATTTTATTTATTTTTAAGAGTAATTATTTTGATGAGAATTTATTAATAATTTAATATAAAATATGATATATTAATTTAAGTGAATGAACATTGAAATATATGAAAAATATTGTAATTGTTTTAAACTAATCATATTGTTATTTGGTTTCATTGATTTTAATAAGATGACAGATGTTCATAGTTGAATGTATAGACATTGAGCTCCTCACAGAGAAATACATGACAAGTTCTATAATGAAATTGAGTTTTTCATTCAATTTGCATACAATAGGTTAGGTTTTGGACCCAATGACCTGATCAAATGTCCTTGCAGTAAATGCTTGAATTTGTCAATGATACCTCTAGGAATATGTGGGATCACCTTGTTTTGAATGCTTTTATGAATGTTTATTCTATATGGAGGTTTCACGGTGAAAGGTTTTCGGATTCAACATACCCATAGTCTACTGCTAATCTAAGTGAGACATCACACACTATTAATGCACACCATTAATGATACAAATGACTTTTGTGAGATGGTGTATGATGTAGTTTATCCGAAGGATGATGAGTATGAAGAAATAGAAACTAATTTTTGAAATCAACCTTTGGATGAGGAATCAAACAAGTAAGCAAAGGCATTTTATAACTTGCTTTATGCATCCATAATACTGCTTAGTAGTTTTGGAAAAAAATGAAATAGTGCTTAGCTAGGACTCCTGATGAGCTAAATTTATAGACATTAATGTCAAATTTTTATCTTGATATTATTGATATTTGAATGAATTTTATTAGATTTTACTTTATTTTACATAATTTTTATTCTTGGTCTAGAAAAGGACTTAATTGGAAGAAATCATAATTTTTTAAAGTAAATTGCAAAGATCAGAAAGTAGAAGATTAATTTGTGTGAAATCTAAAAGTTAAGGGACTAGAACTGTCATTTTACTATTAATAGAAATGGCTTGGAAGGCCAAAAACCCGATACGGTGATGTGAATGTGCGCTTAACAGAAGGTGTCACCACCTATTTGAAGGTTTTGACCCTTTCCATGATTTTCAGTTTATTATTTTAGACGTGGGTCTCACCTCTATTTCAATTAGAATTTCTAAAATCTTATAAATACTTATTTAAATTCAGAATTGGAGAGCTTTGGCAGTTGATAACAGGCCTCTTTAGGCACTCTTAGAGATCAAGATAGAAGATATATCAATAAGGCAGAACCCTCAAATTCGCTCTAAAAAAATATCGGCAGGGGCATATCTACCCCTCAAAAAAAGCAACAACAAATTGCCCCTCCGAATCATAAATCAATACAAATCACCAATTTTTCAACATTTTTCATTAAAAAATGCTGACGTAGTAAACAGAATTCTGACATTTTTCGTTGAAAAAGAAATGATTTGTATTGATTTATGATTTGGAGGGGCAATTTGTCCTTAATTTTTTTTGAGGCGTGGATGTGTCTCTACTGATATTTTTTTAGGGTAGATTTGAGGATTTTGCCTATCAATAATAGAATATCAAAAATTTCAACTTCCTCAAATTGAGTTTTGTTTTTCCTTCGATTCTTTTTATCTATTATTTGATATTCGAATGTTTATAACTATAATTTCTACTTTTATTATTTTTATTATGAACTAATTTATTTTAGTAAGGATACATCAATTTAATATAGATTTTGTAATTTTATACTTTCAATTAAAATTATTCGCATGATGAGTTTATATTATTAAATTTAATGTATTGAAAACCTGATCATCTTTCAATTGATTTAGTGATTTATGTATGAACTTGAGAAAGAATTGCGTAAATTAAACCAATAATAATATAAATCATGTGTTAAATTATAAAACAGAGAGGTAATTAGCATTACATATGGTAATGGAGGAAGAAAAGAGAGTTGAGAGCTCCTCCTTCTTAAGCTAGAGGTTTTTATAAAATTTAATGTTCATTAGCTTGTTTAAAATTATATAGAGATATGACTAATTTAACAAATAAGTGAAATATTAACTTGACTTGAAAAGTTACTTAGTTAATTTAGGGAAATCTGCTAATACATGCAATAACACTTAAAAAATTGGTTTTAGAAGCATATTAATTCAGAATTTATATTGATTGATTATAATGAAATCGATACTTTAGTACATTATATCTTGATTAGTTTTATTTTAATTATTATTTTCTTTTTATTATTTTTAATTAAAGTTCCTTTCTTTTCGATTGTTCAAATAAATTTAGATTAATTATTTTTGGTACTTAGTTAATCACAATCCTTGTGGGTTTGACACTTTACTTAGTATTATATTACTTGGAGCGACTAGTAGCGACTAGTACACTTACTAGAGTGATTTTCGCACATCAACTCCTATATATTGCAAACTAAGATTGAAAATAATGTAACTAGTGGTGGTTTTAATGCCATCATTAAAGGATATAGGAGGTTGTTCAATGCTAAAGATTTGGAAAAAGTTTTTGCAAATTTTTATGAGGTAAAAAATTTATGAAAAGGCTTGGGTTGGGTTATTTAAAAATTGATACTTGTGTTCACAATTGCTTCTTCTATTATGAGGAGTATATGAATGCATTGATCACATGTCTAGGGAGGAAACAACAAAAGTGCATTCTAATTAAGAAACTCTCTATGATTCTTGCCAATAATACCTTGCCTTTAGATACCATACATGTCTCAAAAAACAGCTGAGCATATGATATGACGTCTAAAATGTCGTGATGATACAAATGGGTCTCATTCATCCAGCATAATCAAAAGCTTGGAGGCATTTTGATTGAATAAATTCTTCTTTCAAATGAGAATTGTGTAATGTTTGATTGGGTTTTGCCACTGATGGTTTCAACCCATGGGATCATTCTTCAAACCCCTTACTCTTGTTGACTAGTATCTTTGATTGTTTATAACTTGCCATTAGACATGTGTATAACGTTAGAATTTAAACTCCTTACATTGGTCATTGTAGATGCAAAAGGCCCAAGTAGAAATATCAATGTATTCCTTTGACTATTGATTGAAGACTTGAAAAAGTTATGGTCGAGTGGTGTAGAAACATACGATAGTTATTATAAGCAAAATTTTATAATGCATGCTATGTTGATGTGGATCATAATTGATTTTCTAGGTTACATCATGGTGTTTAGTTGAAGTACTCATGGCCAGTTATCTTGTCTATACTCCATGGAGATGATATGACCTTTCTATCTTCATAATTTTCATAAAACATATTTTCTCGATTATCATCATCAGGTTTTACCCTAATTATTCCTTTTAGATTTGATGCAAAAAATTTTCTAGAAGGCTGGGTTGAATTCAAGGTTCCTTCTCCTCAATTAGATAGTATTTTAATGCATCACCAAGTTGAAGCCCTTCTTGAAGTGTTGTTCAAAAACCCTTCAAAAACTATATAGTTGAGGGTTTTCAAGACACTCACAATTGGATGAAGAAGAGCATTTTTTGGAAACTTCCATATTAGCAAAATAATCTTGTTAGACATAATTTTAATGTAATGTATTGTGAGAAAAACGTCTTTAATAATATAATTCACACTGTCATGGATGACAGTATGGCAAAAGACAATAGGAACGCAAGACTGGACTTAGCAATTTATTGTGACTAGGAAAAACTTGACATGGGTTATGATAAACATGGTAAGCTTATGAAGCCTTATGTCCTTTGTGCACTTATCACATAACAGAAAAAGCTTCTATATGCATGGTTGAAAAAATTGTACTTCCTAGATGGATATACTTCTAACATATCAAGATAAGTCAACTTAAATGAGTCCAAGTTATTCAAGGTGAAAAGTTATGATTGTCATGTGTTCATGCAAGGACTAATTCCAAGTGCTTTCACAATCTGTTACTAGTTGCCATATGGGGTCTTTTGACCAAAATTAGTAACTTCTTTTGTTCACTTTATTCCATGGTCATTAGACGTAATGAGATGTAGATGTGGAAAGCAAAGATTGTTGAAATGATTTATAAGTTAGAGACAATATTTCCCCTTGCATTCTTTGATTCAATAGAGCAACTAGCAATTCATCATACATATAAGGCCAAATGTAGTAGTCCTGTTAGATCCTTATTTAGATATGGGTTCAAATGCAAGAATATTGGAACTCAGATGAATTGAAAGTGTTGAGTGAAAGGGAAGCAAAGAATAGGGGGCCTGGGGATAGGGTGACTAACACTATTAGGTCAGTGAGGTTTGACATTCATTAGCTGAGGATTGTAAGCATCATTAATACAAAAAATAAATATATTACACATTTTTAACTATAAATTATGTGTTGTATTATACTAACCTAAATATTGTAATGTAAATTTCTTGAAAAATAGTAGAATCCAAAGGTAGTGTGCAGCCTCCTCATCAAGAGAAATACAATGAAACTAGGGGTAGGCGTTGGACGGTTTCGGTTACAACCACAACTGAGATGTCAATTAACCGAGATGTCGGTTTCTTAATTTTAGAACCTAAAAACCACATTCAAATGTTTTAATTTTCACGGTTTCGATTGTTTCGGTCTCGGTTGTTTTAGTTTTGGTTTCGTGTTTCAACCGCTATTCAGAATGGCTTATCGATGGCGGAAATGCAAGCTACATATTGGAGGTGAGGGAAGAATGATGAGAGAATTTGGCATGAAAGCCGATGGAAGGAGGAGATGGCAACTACAACAATGGAGAAGAGAGAGGAAAAAATCACTAAGTGATTCTTTGTTTCTAGATCTAGAAAAAAAAAAAAAGAATGAAATCAGGAGAAGAAACTAATAGGAATGAACTACTAGAGAAGTAGAGCAGATTTTCTCTATTGAGGAGAGGAAGGAGAGTTAGAAAATGGGTTTAAGTGAAGTGGAAGGAGAAGGAGAACTGGAGAAAATTTGCAGTACCATCGGTGGGGAGGATGGGGAGTGGTGATGTGAAATTAGAAAAAAAAAAGTGAATAAATAATTAAAATAATTTATGTATTAATAATATTAAA